AAAAAAAAAAAAAAAGATTTCCATGAAATCAGGAACAAGACAAGGATGCTTCGTTATCTTCCAGCATTGTTTTAAATTAGATAGAAGGTATTAGCCAAAAAACTAATAAAGAGAAAGAAGCCAGAGTTATTAAAAATTGTAAAAGGGGCCAGGCATGGTGGCTAATGCCTCTTTTTTGTTGTTGTTGTTGTTATTTTTTTATTTGTTTTATCTTTTGTTATTTTTTAATTTTTTGAGACAGGGTCTCACTCTGTCACTCAGGCTGGAGAGCAGTGCCACAATCTTAACTCATTGCAACCTCCGCCTCCTGAGTTCAAGCGATTCTCCTGCCTCAGCTTCCCAAGTAGCTGGGATTACAGGCGCACACCTCCACGACCGGCTAGGCTCATGCCTCTAATCTCAGAACTTTAGAAGACCAAGGGAGCAGGATAGCTTAAGCATAGGAGATCAAGACCCTATCCCTAAGGAAAAAAAAAAAAGTGAAAGAGGCAAAACCAAAACCATCATTATTTGCAAATGACTAATTCCTCAACAAGAGAATCATTTGAAAAACTACTATAAATGGTAAGACAATTCAGTATATTAAAGGAGGCTATCAAATAAATATGCAGACATCAATTATTTTCAAATACACAGGCAAGCTTCTATAATAGAAATATCTTCATGTACTACAGAAAAAACATGAAAGATCAAGTATCTAGGAATAAATGACTAGACCTATGAAAGACCTACTTTAGGAACATTAAGGACAAATATTAATGCTCTTCTGAAGAATACAAAGGAATTCTTTTAAAAAATGGAAAAATTGCCAGGTATGGTGGCTCACAGCTGTAATTCCAGCACTTTGGGAGGCCTAGGTAGCTGATGATATGAGGCCAGGAGTTCAAGACCAGCCTGGCCAAAATGGCAATAATCCATCTCTACTAAAATTACAAAAATTCACCAGGCGTGGTGCTGGGCAACTGTAGTCCCAGGTATTCGGGAGGCTGAGGCATGAGAATTGCTTGGACCCAGGAGGTTGAGGTTGCAGTGAACCAAGATTGTGCCACTGCACTCCACACTGGGTGACAGAGTGAGACTGTCTCAAAAACAAAACAAAAACAAAAACAAAACAAAACTGATCATTTAGATACGAAGAACACTCATTATCTAAGATAGCAATTACCCATGAGTTAATGAAGTGTAATATGATTCTAATAAAAATGCTTTGTTTTAAAATAAGGTAAGCTGACTTTGAGGTTGATGTAGTTACATAATGAACAAAATACCCAGAAGCACTATGAAAAAGTATACTGAAAGGCTTTAGCATTACCAGATTTAGAACTAGTTAGAAAATCTAAAACACAGTTTTTGTATGAAAAGGCATCTTAAAACAATTAGTGGAGCCAGGCATGGCACCCAGCACTTTGGGAAGCTGAGGCAGGTGGATCACCTGAGGTCAGGAGTTCGAGACCAACCTGGACAACATAGTGAAACCCTGTCTCTATGAAAAATACAAAAAATTAGCTGGGTGTGGTGGTGTGGGCCTGTAATCCCAGCTACTTAGAAGGCTGAGGCAGGAGATTGCTTGAACCCGGGAGGAGGAGGTTGCAGTGAGCTGAGATCCTGCCACTGCACTCCAGCCTGGTTGACAGAGCAAGGCTCTGTCTGAAAATCAAAAACAAAAAACAGTTAGTGGAGAAAAGATGGACTACTTAGTAAATGATGTTAGGGCAATCAGGCAATCGTCTAAAAAAAAATTAGATCCTTATACTGCACCTGAGAATAAATTTCAAATGGTTCAAAGATTCGAACATGAACAATGAAAACACACACACACACACACACACACTACAACCTTGGGATTCAAAATACTGCAGGTTTATTATTTACTTTTGAGACAGGATCTCACTTTGTTATCCATGCTGGAGTGCAGTGGTGTGATCTTGGCTTTACTGCAGCCTCAGCCTACTGGGCTCAAGTGATCCTTCCACCTCAGCTGCCAGAGTAGATGGGATTACAGGCGTGTGCCACTACCCCAGGCTAATTTTTCATATTTTTCAAAGAGACGGAGTTTTGCCATGTTGCCCGGACTGGTCTTGAACTCCCGAGCTTAAGTGGTCTGCCTGCCTCAGCCTCCTGGAGTGCTGGGATTACAGGTGTGAGTCACTGTGCCGGGCCTACTGCAAATTTAAAGGAAAATTGGAAGCAAAAATCACCGCGGCCAAAAGGCTTTCCAAAAAGCCAAAGCCTAATGACAAATTATGAAAAAATATTCGTAACTCATATCCCAAGCTATTATTATACCTCGTATCACTAACATGAGTATCATAAATAGCTACTGGATTCAACGAAGAAAGGACAAAATTATCTGTCAGGGAAGTGGATAAAGAATATGAACTAGGCACGGTGGGGCTCAAGCTTATAATCCCAGAACTTTGGGAGGCGGAGGCAGGAGGATCATCTGAGATGAGGAGTTTGAGACCAGTCTGGCCAACATGGTAAACCCCCATCTCTACTAAAAAATTCTAAAAATACAAAAATGAGCCAGATGAGGTGGCACACACCTGTAATCCCAGCTATTTAGGAGGCTGAGGCAGGAGAACCACTTGAATCTGGGAAGTGGACTGCACTTCAGCCTGGGTGACAAGAGCAAGACTTCGTCTCAAAAAAAAAAGAAAAGGAAAAAAAAAAGAATATGAATAGAGACTTTACGGAAAAGGGAATATATATATATATATGTATATATATATATATATATATATGTATAAAAGTTTAAAAGATATTTAACTGGCTGGGTGCAGTGGCTTACACCTCTAATTCCAGCACTTTGGAAGGCCGAGGTGGGTGGATCGCCTGAGGTCAGGAGTTCAAAACCAGTTTGGCCAGCATGGTGAAACCCCATCTCTGCTAAAAATACAAAAATTAGCCAGGCGTGATGGTACAGGCCTGTAATCCCAGCTCTCAGGAGGCTGAGACAGGAGAATCGCTTGAGCCTGGGAGGCGGAGACTGCAGTGAGCAGAGATGACACCACTGCACTTTAGCCTGGACAACAAGAGCAAAACTCCATCTCAAAAAAAAAAAAAAAAGATACTTAACTTCTCATAATAAAAGCAAATTAAAACTGGTAAACTATTTTTTTCAACTATCAGATTCATAAAAGCTGGATGATTGTTGGTTTAGTGTGTTGGCTAGGCTGTCATGAAACATCCTTGATCATCAATTGCTGGTGGGAGTGCAAAGCAGGACACATAGTGCTGCATAGCAATATCTATACAATTTTAAAGGAGTACCTTTGGTCCAGCATTCTCACTTCTAGGGAATCAGCCTACAGATATTACACATTAAAAGAAATGTAGGTACCTAATGATTATAAGACACATCATTAGGTTCATGAAAACCTAAGGAAAAAATGCTGTACTACAGCATCAAATTTAAGATGCACCCACATTTCAGCTACGTTAAAATGTGAAGTGTATTTTGAATTGAAGCAATACTATATTTGTGCACCTGCCACATGATATGTGTACAAGATCAACTACTCCAGCAATTTTTTTTTCTCTCCAAAGAAATATATGGGAAACAACCTAAATGTCCGTCAATATATCCCTGGTTAAGTAAATTTCAACATAATTTCAGAATGGAATAAAATGCCGCTTTAAAAAATAATGAGGAAATACAGTGGTTTGGTAGGGTCGTCAAGATATGTTCTTAATGAGAAAGCAATGTGTAAACCAGTAAGTATAATAAGCTGACTTCTGTGAAGAAGTAAAAACAAGTAAACTCAGATTTACAGGGAAACTACAAGGATGGAAGGGAAACTGTGGCTATCATTAGAGGTCATGGTGGGTACTGGATGGAGGAAGACAAGAATGGAAGGCTTTTCACTGTATATTTTATATATTTTTTGGCTTGTAAATGGATTTTTTTATACTGAAAACACTTTTAAAATTAAAAGTTGAGTGAAAGAAAAAAGTCCAGAAATTTGATGTTCTTGAAAACAAGATTTATCACGTAATATGTACATTTACTTTGTCACTTGAAATGTCTAAGAAAACACAAAATCAATCTTACACTAGAAACTTCTATTGAATATGACATGAGGAGGGCACATATTCCGACAATTTCAAGATCTTTTCACAGCCTTCCAGTCCTAATAACTCGGCGTTAACGCCTCATTCTGTTCAGCACTATTTGATAATTTCTTTCATTCTCATGGGCCTAAGTATTGATTTCTCATCAAGTCTCAATTTTGTAAAACCATCCTTTACTTTGTAATAAAGCAATGTTGAGAGACATTTTCCATAACGCAAGGGGAAAAATGTGGATCAATCACAAACTCAACGAACGTTACAGTTATAGTACTTTCGACATTTTTTTCAATTTCTTCTGTACTGCTTTTTCAAGATAAGCTTCCCTCTGTCTTTTTCCCCTCCACCTCCACCTGTGCACTGCATTATCTCGATATACTCTGACTTCTGAAAATCAAGTTGCAGGATTGGTATGATTGGAATGCAGAGGTTCTCTTGAAGTGTCACCACGTAACTATTCTCTATTGATAAACTTATCACAACCAAGTTCTTCTATCAGAGGGTTGATAACTTCAGATGCAGTCAGAGCTATCGTAAAGGTTAAAATATCGAGGTCCACCCTGTGAGGATTTCGCTGATATTCGGCATCAAACGCTGCTTCCCTTGCTCTGCAGGCTTCCACGAATCGCCTGCGGCGTTCTTCAAGCTCCTGTATTCTGCCAGGAGCAATCGGGTAATTTTCCAGATAGTGGCGGAGAAACTGCTGGTAATTGACTCCTAAAACGCTAAGTGGGTGGCGGAGGCGGAGATAGGGCAACGCAGCCAGGCCTCCATTCGCGTGCCTGGACCTGGGCCTAACCTCGGGACCCTCTTCGTCCACCGGCTCCCCTAGCAAGCGGGCGACCTCCGCCATCCGGGCTTCTCTGGCCGCCGCCGCCGCTGGGCTTTCCCTACCCGCCGCGGCTGCCCTGGCCACCGCCGCCGCTGCCACCGGGGCTCCCCTGGCCGCCGCCATCCGGCCTTCCCTGGCCGCCGGCACCGGGCCTCCCCTGGCCGCCGCCATCGCCCCTTCCCCAGCCTCTTCAAGCTGCGCCGGGGCCGGCTCCCGCCTCCCGCGGCCTACCTCTGCCTGCGGGACGTCTCTATCACCATTCGCCGCGCCTGTCTGCGGGACACTGCTGTCTGCGGGCAGCTTGGACATCTTAGACCGCGGGGTCAACTCGGCTGCTCCCAGAGAAACTGGAATAACGGGAGAGCGCGATGCCCGGTGGACACCCCAGTACGCGTGCGTGAGCGCTCTGCGCACGGTAAACGCCGTGAGCGTAACAGGGCGCGAGAGCAGTTTCTGCTGCAAACCCTGGGAGCAGTGCGCATGCGTACTCTCCAGGCGCCCGCGGTTCTCCAGATGCCCCCTCGAGGCCGGGAATCGCCAACGCATCGGCAACAGCCCAATGACGAAGGGCGGGGCCGTATTGGACATTTCAACCTGTTTGATGTTTGTGAGAAACGCTAGGAACGCTTACAAGATCGCTTCTTGTAGGCGTTCTCCAGGTTCGGTCCTAGAGTGTTCCTCTTTGTTCTTCAGTGATTATATGCCATACCTATTATATATATTTTAGATTCATGGTCTAAAGATATTTTAGATTCATGGTCTTTTCTAGGTTTTTTTTTTTCCATTCATTACTTTGCCTGTCTTCACCCATATGGATCGTCCTAGCTACTAAAGCTTTATATTCTTTTCTTGTATTACATTGACTACTTTGGACATTTAATTTTCAAATCTTATTTGTGCAATATAACATGCAGAAAAGTAAAACATTAATATACAGCTGAATGATTTATCACAAATGAACATCCATTTAACTACCACACAGGCCAAGAAATGGAATATTTCCAGTATTCCAGAACGCTTTCTCCTTATCACTATCCTCTCCTTTCTACCCAGAAATAACTACTATCCTGATATTTATATTTTCTTGTTTCTCTTTTCATTTTACCACCTAAGGGTGCATTCCTAATGCTGTAGTTTAGTTTGGTCTGTATTCTGAACTTTATATATGTGAGAAACACACTTACCTGTCCAAACCCAAAGAATGGACTTAGAAGCACGAAGAACAGCGAAAGTGAGACTTTTAATAAAGACCTTGCAAGATCAGGTGTCTGGTAGGTAGGCACACCCAGGGCCGTCACAACAGGTAATTTCTCTCTCTCTCTTGTTCTCACCTTTCCTCCCTCTCCTCCCCTCCCCCGCTTTCTTTCTTTCTTTGACAGAGTTTCACTCTTGTTGCCCAGTCTGGAGGGCAATGGCATGATCTTGGCTCACCCCAACCTCCTCCTCCGACTTCAAGTGAGTCTCCTGCCTCTGCCTCCCGAGTAGCTAGGATTACAAGCATGTGCCACCACACCCAGCTAATTTTGTATTTTTAGTAGAGACAGGGTTTCTCCATGTTGGTCAGGCTGGTGTCAAACTCACAACCTCAGGTGATCCACCCACCTCAGCCTCCCACCCTTCCTTCCTTCCTTCTTTTTTTTTTTTCAGGGTCTCATTCTGTTATCCAGACTGGAGTGCAGTGGCACAATCACAGCTCACTGCAGCCTTGACCTCCTTGTTCCCCTCCTCCGGCTGCCTGGAGAATCACAAATTTTAAAACTTTAATCTTGTTCTATGTTTTCCTGAGCTCAAGTGATCCTCCCACCTCAGCCTCCTGAGTATCTGGGACTAAAGGTGTGCACCACCACCCCGCTAATTTTTAATTTTTTTGTAGAGACAGGGTCTCCTTATGTTGCACAGGCTGGTCTTGAACTCCTGGGCTCAAATGATCCACTTGCCTCGGCCTCCCAAAGTGCCAGGACTATAACCATGAGCCACCGTGCTTGGCCTCCAGCCTGTCTTTTCATTACGGTTTATAAATACTTTATTTTCTTGATAGTTATTATATTCATTACCATTCTTTTATGGGTCTCATAATATTAAAACATGAATCTTACGTACTAGCTCTCCAATTACTTTCTCTTTGTTCTGATTAACGAGAACAAAATCATTTGATTTGATTTTGCTGGTGGTGGTCCCTGTCACGATGCCATGATTCATGACCATCGGCAGATGATTTAAATTACTCATTGTTCTTTGCCTATCAGAAGTAGCTATTCTGAGGCAGTAAGGTCTCATCCACAGAGCACAAGACTGCATTTTAATTTTCCTGGTCCAAGCACCAAATTAGGAAAACACAAGAGCTAGCCTACTTGCAGCTTCCCACCAGCATCACTGCAATCACTAAGTGTGCGGCTCCTTTAAGGCAGTTCCCAGGTTAGGCTGGAGACAGAGCTATTGTTCCCATTAGGCCGCCTGGAGAATCACAAAAATTTAACAAAGTTCCAGACTTAGATGATAACATATATTATGACAAGAAGAAGTAGAAATCTAGTAACTTGCTGTAATCCTGCAGAAGCAGATATAATCTTGTTCTCTGGACTAAGAATCACCTTACAGCAGAAGCTGAAAGGCCCTCTGATTTTCCAAGAATAGAAATTGCTCCAAGTGAAATGGTGGTTTATTAGACTGAAGCGATATAAAAATGGTTCTAGGGGCCGGGTGCGGTGGCTCATGCCTATAATCCCAGCACTTTGGGAGGCCGAGGCAGGCAGATCACAAAGTCAAGAGTTTGAGACCATCCTGGCCAACATAGTGAAACCCGGTCTCTACTAAAATACAAAAATTAGCTGGGTGTGGTGGCATGCACTTGTAATCCTAGATATTCGGGAGGCTGAGGCAGGAGAATCGCTTGAACCCGGGAGGCGGAGGTTACAGGGAGGTGGAGGTTGCAGCAAGCCGAGATCACGCCACTGCACTCCACCCTGGGTGGCAGAGTGAGACTTCGTCTCAAAAATAAAAATGTTCTTGTAAGTATCAGAAAGGGAAGATTTCTACCAGAGACAACTTAAGTGCCCATAGAAGGGGTTTACACTTTGTTCTGAAGACATTCATGAGCTGCAGAAGAGGAAAGTGCCATAATCATCTTCTGACAATATAAGTCTATTGTCATTCATTAAACGGGACAATGAATGAAGGATAAGTGGGCATCACACCTGAAAATTCAACGTAAACTTCTCTGCAGTGTGGCGAGAAATCTTAACATGGGAGTTGGGGGATGCCAGTTTCACGGGACCAGACACAGAGAGGATGCTCAAAATGTGTGTTGAAGCAGGTACAGAAATGAGTGTCTGAGCACATGTGCCCAGTTATAACCGGAAAAACTAAGGGAGATGTTGTTTCTTATGTATCTCTGATATTTCCTCCTATCTTCCTTGGCAGTTGCTATGGTTTGAATCCATGCCCCAAAGTTCGTGTGTTGAAAAGTTAATCCCCAATGCAGGTGTTTCAAGGTGGGGTCTTATAAGGGGCGATTAGGTCATGAGGGCTCTGCATTATAATCAGATTAGTAATGTCATTCTCTTTTTTTTTTTTCAGGTAGAAACTTTAAAGTAACTTTTATTAACATATAAATTTTATATTAACTGTATTTTACCACAATTATTTTTTTGAGATGGAGTCTTTCTTGCTTGCCCAGGTTGGAGTGCAGCGGCGCCATCTCAGCTCTCTGCAACCTCAGCCTCCCGGGTTCAAGCGATTCTCCTGCCTCAGCCTCCTGAGTAGCTGGGATCACTGGTGTGCGCCACAAGCCTGGCTAGTTTTTATATTTTTAGTAGAGACGGGGTTTCACCATGTGGGCCAGGCTGATCTTGAACTCCTGACCTCAAGTGATCCACCTGCCTTGGCCTCCCAAAGTGCTGGGATTACAGGCATGAGCCACCACATCGAGCCAGCAGATAAATGTCCTTTTCATTGGAGTGAGCTAGTTATCATGAAAGTAAGATTGCTGGCCGGGCGCGATGGCTCATGCCTATAATCCTTGCACTTTGGGAGATTGTGGCGGGTGGATTGCCTGAGCTTAGGAGTTTGAGACCAGCCTGGGAAACACAGTGAAACCCCATCTCTACTAAAATACAAAAAATTAGCCGGGCGTGGTGGCGTGCACCTGTAGTCCAAGCTACTCAGGAGGCTGAGGCAGAAGAATTGCTAGAACCTGGGAGGCAGAGGTTGCAGTGAGCCGAGATCGCGCCATTGCACTCCAGCCTGGGTGACAGTGTGAGACTCTTGTCTCAAAGCGGGGAAAAAAGACGTAAAATGATAAAATTCTTTGAAAAAAAGAAAAAACACACGCATATCTTCATGACATGAGATTTGGCAGTGATTTCTTGGGTATGACTCCAAAAGCACAAGTAACAAAGGAAAAAACAGATAAACTGGACTCCCTCAAAACTTAAAACTGAATCAAAGGTCATTCTGGAAAGCGTAGACACTCAACTCACAGAATGGAAGATAATTTGCAAATCAGGTATCTGATAAGAGATTATGATCTCAAATAAATAGAGACCTACCATCTAACAACAACGACGCAAAAACTCTTCCAATTTAACAATGACCAAATAACTTCAATAGACACATCTCCAGAACAGATATAAAAGTGGCCAACAAGCATATGAAAAAAGACTCAACTTCAGAGTCATTGGGGAAATGCAGAATCAAAACCATAGTGAAATAGCACTTCCTCCTCACTAGGATGGCTGTTATTTTCAGATACAAAATAACAAGTGTTGTGAGGATGCAGAGATACTGCAACCCTTGAACATTGCTGTTGGGAGTGTAAAATGGTGCAGCTGCTGTGGAAAACTTTATGGCAGTTTCTGGGAAAGGTTACCATGTGATCTAGCAATACCACTTCCGTGTATACCCCCTTAATAATTGAAGAAAGAGACTCACACAGATATCTGCACAGCAGTGTTCATAGCAGCATGATTCATTGTAGGCAAGAGATGGAAACAACCCCAATTTCCATCTACGGATATACATATGATGGAAGATTATTAGCCTTAAAAGTGGAGGACATTTTGACACTGGCTGTAGCATGAATGAGTCTTTAAAACATGCTAAGTGGAATAAGACAGACTCTCCCTGAGACTGTAGGTGCCAGCTGTGGGGAGAAGGTGATGGGTCAAGAGTAGGGGCTATGGACATTTGGACCGTTCCTCCTGCAGCTTTCTTGTGCCTTCAGAACCTGTGCAAGCCTGATCTCTCTGCCCAGTGAGTCCCCCCTTCCATCCTGACGCTGTTTGCTCAGTTTCAGGTTGCATAAGACATGAAACCAGAAAGCACGGTGTGACTGGTGCTCTGCCCTACTTTCACTTTTAGATAGCTCTGGCTGAACTTGTAACCTAACTAAAAATAGGATTTTGTTTCCTTTTCACTGCTGATTATAAAGGCAGAGATTTCTAAGAAATCCATGATGTACAGGAAAGTGATTTAGTAATTTATTGCTGAATTCTGATGCATGCTGTCTTGTTAGTATTTCAGACACAAGATAGGAAAGACACTTGTTTATTGAGGAAGCGGTTTGCAAGACACTCAGTAGATACACAATTGCCTGCCCTAAGTGAATTGGTGGGAAATAAGAATTGCTCTCTCCTTGATTTTGTTTATTTATTATTTTTTTTAAAAGGGAGTCTTGCTTGATTGCCAGGTTGGAGTGCAGTGGTGTGATCTTGGCTCACTGCAACCTCTGCCTCTCGGGTTCAAGCCATTCTTCTGCTTCTGCCTCCCAAGTAGCTGGGACTACAGGCACTCACCACCATGCCCGGCTAGTTTTTGTGTTTTTACTAGAAACGGGGTTTCACCACATTGGCTAGGGTGGTCTCTATCTCTTGACCTTACGATTCACCTGCCTCG